AAACAAAGCAGCTACTCCGTTTGGTTTTTAAGTTCATTTTACTTATGTAGTTCATAAGACTGTCTGGGGCCAAAGGCAGTTTTGAAATAAGATCTGTTAACTATAATATTTTTAAAAGAAAATGAATTCCACTATTCCTCTTTGCCATTAAGAAAGCACCGAGACACTGCAGGTTCTGTCTCACTTCACAGTGAACCGTATGTGGTGGCAGCTAGGCCAGCCTTTTGAAGACTGTCATGTAGTGCAGGCAGGGCAGAAGCCTGACGGTAAGGAAAGAATGCCTGAATCAAAGGCAGTTTTCCAATTTCGATTCTAAAATTTTCATCCACCTAAGACACTGCTCACTTTGTGGGGGACTTTAGAAACATTATCCAGAAACCTTTGTTCTTCAAGAGCAGATGACCTTAGCCTCAGATACATTGCTCTGTTAACTCACGATGTGAAGCGGTTTGAAGCGAAGAGCTGCTCAGAGGAATGCCTTCAATTCCATGGTGTGCTTAGAGGAAGGTTTTTATGTAGAAGGATATGGTCATCTTGGGATTAAACTTTCAGTGTCTTAATTTTTTATACTTTGAGGGTATTTTTTTTTTAATTAAATACTTGAGACAAGTTGACTTTTTTTTTTTTTTTTTAAAGTTAGATGAGCTACTTTGCCATGGGCTACATGACAGAGGCAGTTGGCAGTTCTTCATAATTGCTTAATGGTACCTATCTTCTTTTGCATTTGTCTTGAATGCTTAGAGTTAAGATTCCTTTCATCTTCACCTCCTCTTGGTAGGAAGGGATAGCGTCTCCCTTCTCTAATTGTTGGGGATCAACACCAGCTTCCATCTTGGTTGTCACAGTGACAGAGTAGCCTTCTTGCCTCCCTTCTTACGCCCTAAAACCTCCCACTCTAGTGCCATATGAACAGGGTCTGACAGAGAAGAGAGAAGTGAAATGTAGAGTCTGGGAAGTAGTTGTCTAATACTGTAAGAATGTAGACAGAAAAGGAACATTCATGTGTTTTTTCAGATATGAATGTGACTAACGACTCAAGGCTTATACAGGGCTGTTGTGGCCTTTGGTGTGGCTGTTGCTGTACATAGATGTTACAGACTTGTACTAACACACCCCTAAGTTGATATTTGTTAAACCTCATTTATAAAAGCTTTAAAAAAAATCTACTTTGCCTCATTATTTATTTCTTATTTGCTTTCATGTTGGGTTTACCTGTTCTTCCTAGCAGTTTGTTAGGCAAGTACACTTTAAAAATAGTATGGTCCCAGGTTTAAACAGAGACTGCCACCACCATCTAGTTGGTGATAAGTGTGTTTACTCAAGAGCAGCCCTCTCCCAATGACGTGTCCACACATGTCACAGTTCACATATGGGAAAGCTGTGGGGTGTGAATCACAATGACATTCCACTCTTCAAATCCAACTACCATGTTTATCTTAAAAACACACTGACATAGCAACCCTACACTTTTGCTTTTGTAGTACTGGGATTAAAAAATGAACCATTTCCTTCTGGTCATTTTTGGACAAAACATATACATCAACAGAAGAGACTATAAAGTTATTCCCCTTGTGGGAACAGTCCTTAGCAGATGATCAATACAAATCAGTTTTAGTGCCACTTGGGGTAAAAGACTTGAAGCAGTTTTTTTCATAAGCAGGACTATATTTATATACTAAGAGGGATGGTCTGTTAGGAGGTAGACAGCTTCTGTCTGGTGACAAAGGCAGGGGGGCAGATGAACTGAACCTTTATTTAAGACAAACTGAGTCATTTTTTTCCTAAAAGGCTTCTTCCTCAAAGGAAGATTTGGTTTTATTATTCTTACACACTTTATGTAAATTAAAATGACTACCAATAAAAGCCCTGTTCTGAAAACAGAAAAATTCTGTCGACTACTCGAAGGCTGAACTCACGCTTAACCTTTATTAGTCCATTTTAGAAAGCTGTACACTTTTTTAAAAATCTGCAATTCATAAATAAGAATAGAAAAAATATTACAATCGAAATCTTATCATTAGATATGGGAAACTATCTACTATAAGGAATTCAAATCAGCCAATGGAGGCTGGATTTATAGAAAAGAAAGCTGATGGATTGTGTTCCTTCAGGACCAGAATATAGCTTATGAGAATGGACTTGATACTTTCAGTGGAGTAAAGTTATAATATTAAATAGCTAAAGCATTTCCCTGTTTTACAATTTTATACCACATATTCCATAAAGAGAAATTTAGAAGATCGCCAGGTACACAGGTGAACAGTTAGTGCTGGAATCCTGGGACAAGCTCTGGTATTACATAATGAGAGCATCCCTGGGAATGAGGGGAGCAATATGTGTCTGCCTTTTACATGCAGAAGAGTGTCCTCCTGCACTCCTGCCTTCTCCAACACTCTGGAATGCAATGCTCCAGAATGCAATGTACTCTTTTAGTTGGCTGTTTTCAGAGGGGCCTTTCGGAGCGACCTCCTACTGGGGGTTGGGTTGTCTTTATTTCTGGCTGGGGACTTCACATTCCACTGCTGAGGCTGTGGAGGCCTAGGGA